TGAGCGGCCAGCAGCCGCAGTGAGTGGCCGTCCAGAAGCTGGCGACTGATCTGCCTCACCCGGGAAGAGTGCAATGATGGTGCCAACTTGGGCCAGTGCAGCAACGTCCTCCACAACTAGACTGAGAACAAAAAGACAGCAACTTGTCTGTTTCCCTTCCCCCAATTCCCCAGCGCTGTTCCCATCCCCCAATTACCCAATAAAAATCTTAAAAAAAAAGAAACATAGATAAGAATAAGAGGCAACTCAAAACTTGCTCTAAGGCTATAATATAATAATACTAGCAAGCATTTATAGAATCACCAATATTAACTTTACTAACCGCTGTTGTAAGTGCTTTATATGCATTAACTCATTAATTGTCCCAACAGCTTTACAAAGTTGGTAGTATTATTATTGATATTCTACACACGAATAAAACGAGCACAAGGAAGGTAAAATAATTTACCAGGAAGTAGTGAAGCTGGGATTTGAATTTAGACAGTTCATACTTTTAACTAGTATGGTCTACTGGCTTTCCACCACTCTGCTTGGTGGCCTCTGGAGCCAACACCTCTGCTAAATGAGTAATAATGAGCTGGAGGTTAAAACAACACAACACAAATGCTGTGTACTCAGTGACCTCCAACAACTAATTCCCATGAAGTGAGGATTGAAAGTGGCTACATAAATACTTATGGTGATACCTCATGAAACAATATAAAGCTAAAGGTTTCTTAAGACTCATGCTTACCTTACAGGTTTTCAATGGAAAATACCTCACTCTCTTTAGAATGACAGTACAAACTGCAGACCTAGCCAAGATGGGGATGATGAGTGGAGAAGAGTACAGTGAACATACTGGAAGTATGATGGGCAAGGACTTGGGCCTTAAAAGCCCCCACTGGAGGCCTTCCCCAATGCCTCGAATAGGAGGTGAGTTGGGTAAAAAGCAAGGTACCTAGGAATGAACCCAGTGATGAACCCAGGGAGGCCTAGGGTCATTACTGCCAACAGATTGGTTCTCTGTGCCCTTCCCTATCAGAACTCCTGGTAACTTTCAATTCTGTCCTACAGCCAAAGGGGCCACTGAAAACAGCTTCTGCTCTGCTTCTTGAAATCCATTGCCCTAAACTTGACTGAAAAAGTTGCTCAAGTTACAGGCTTTCATGTAACACACTTTTAGATAGAAAAGAGGGATACAGTTCTGACCAATACAATTCATAGTGCCCTCTTACCTTTTTCTGCTGGGCTCAGAACAGTCACTGTGGAAAGAGATAAAAAGGTCAAAATTAGCGATATTTTCAAACTTACTTTTCTAATCCATTTTTCCATAGCATCATTTTTTAGCAATTTAGTCAGTGGTACTTTAGGGAATCATCAGCCTGCTGAGATAAGGAAAGACGAGGATTAAATTCCATCCTCTGCGGTATTCCTTCATCTTAAACCATGAGAATTAAGAATCTCTACTCATTCAACAAATACAGGTATAATTTGATTAAAAACAACAGCAAATGGAAACACTAAAGCTATGTAACATGGTAGTAGGAACTTAAAAGATGATAATTTAGCAGATGATTACTCATTTCCCCAAAGTATTCACTGTCTGGGTTAGAAGCCCAGTCACACTATTTTATGACTGTGGGCAGATCCTTACCTTCGCTAACAGTACCTACCTCACAAGGTTGAGATTTAAATGTGGTCATAAATATAAATACTGTTTAACACAGAATCTAGCACAAGGAAGTATGAACATATTAATACATATTTTATTATTATTTTTGAACTAAGATTTCATAGAATATCAGAACTGGAAGGGAGTTTAGTGATTATCTCGTTTATCTGTCTCATTTTGCAGATGGGAAAAATGGACTAGCGTATCATCAAATGATTTGCCCAAGGTCATAGAGCAAGTTAATGATAGAGTTGGGACTAGATTCCAGCCTCAAGGGCTTTTTCCATGTGCTGTGTCCACCTTTTGCAATCACTGCTTGCTGGCTTACTATGATATATACATAACTTTTGTTCAGAATTTCATTTGTACAAGCTGAGGCCGATCTTACTCACCACCACGATCTCTGCGCACTTGTACTAGGTGCCAAGGGAAGGTGAAATCACAAGGCATAGCTCTTTAAAATGGAGAGACAGAGAGCAGAGTTGCTTGGAGACCAATCTTAATAAAGAGTAGCAGCCAAATTGCTGTTTGGCATATCTCCTTGCAACATCTATAGCTGAACACTCACTGCTAAACAGGAAGCGGAGGTCTTTACTTCCATTTGCTTGGCTACAGCACTTGTGAGTCAGGGAAGGAAAGCACCCAGTGCTTCATGAATGTCGGGATTAGACAGTGTACATAGAAAAATGAGTGGGGGCCAGGAAGTGTCCAGGGGAACAGCTGGCTTTAAGTCGTTTCAGGATGGTCATGTGCAAGTGTGTCTGGTTTATATGATCCAAGAACAAAGGGAAGAAATGGAATCAGAAGGTAAAAGCTGCATGTCAACACACTGTAGCTCCATATAAGAAATGATGATGACGACGACCAAGCAGACTGTTAAGAGTCCTTTTCACTCCTGAAATCTGTAAAGAGTCAGTAACTTTAAGGGAAAACATATTGTCGCAAAGTTCTGTTGGAAGTTACACACTTCTGAGAAAAAAAAAGGGGGCCTTTATTCTAAACCTTTGTGTCACTTCTATTGGTGGTTCTGCCTTTCCTTTATTTTTCTAATATTGCCTTTTGCATTATTAAAGTAAGAGACTAAGAATACTTCAGTTATATTTAAAATGAAAATGACACAGGGCACACTGAACTTGTACCAAATGAAACCTCTGGGCCATTCTCTGGGTAACCTGCTGTGCATGATTATAGATTGATGTGGTGATGTGTGTGAATAAACACCTGCTTTGTTCCTTCAAGTTGTAGCTTACTCCTGGGGAGTTAAGTCACTGCACTTATCATCAAACAGTTTCTTTGCACTCTCTCTCCTCTTTTCTCTCACCTATTTACTGGTTCGTTGCAACTAGGTATGGAGAAAATGTATGGAAGGGCTTTTCATCACAGACTAGTGTTAAAACCAAAGCATATCTCATGACTTCTTTTAAGTAGATGCATGTTTTAGGATTCACAGAAGAATATTGGAAGAATAAGCCTAATATGGGGCTAGATGAGGATAGTCAATAAATGTAGGAGAAAACACAAGGAAGAAATTCTACAACCAAAATATAATGCAATCTATGTAATTTAAATGTTATAGTAGGAATGTTTAAAAAAGTTAAAAAATATCAAGTGAAGTTAACTTTAAGAATATATTTTATTTAATCCAACATATCAAAAATATCATCATTCCAATATGTTATCCAAACAAAGATTATTAATGAAATATTTTACATTTTTCTTTTTGTATTAAATTTGTGAAAGCTGGTGTGTATTTTATACTTCCGGCAGATCCACATTTCAAGTGTCTAATAGCCACATGTGGCTACTGGCTACCAAATTAGTGACGCTCAAAAGGACTTATGAGGGCCGGCCGAGTGGCGCGATGGTTAAGAACTCGCTTGGGATGCCAGAGGGCCCCGGTTCGGATCCCACATATGAGGGCCAGTGACACTGCCCTCCACAGCTAAGATGCTGAACAACAGCTCAACCTGGAGCTGGGCTGCCCTGAGTCGCCGGCGACGGCGTGGGCTGCAGTCCCTGTGGCAGTGGATTGCCATGGGCTACCGTGTGTGGCCAGCAGCCAGCGTGAGCAGCCAGCAGCCGCAGTGAGCGGCCGTCCAGAAGCCGGCGACTGATCTGCCTCGCCAGAGAAGAGCGCAATGATGGTGCCAACTTGGGCCAGTGAAGCAACGTCCTCCACAACTAGACTGGAGAACAAAAAGACAGCAACTTGTCTGTTCCCCTTTCCCCAATTCCCCAGCGCTGTTCCCATCCCCCCAATTTCCCAATAAAAATCTTTAAAAAAAAAAAAAAAAGGACTTATGAAAGCAGAGTGGGGAGGCTGAAAATGTGAGTGTAGTGAGATGAGCGCTTACTTAAAATGAAGTTCTCTTTTAATTAATGACTCACTCGGGGAGGGAGTTCATTGATGTATACCATATACTTTGGTATGTATTCATATTCTGGTTCTGCCACTTACTTCTTCTGTGACCTTGGGCAAATTATTTAATCTCTCTGTGCCTCAGTTTCCTCATCTGTAAAATGCTAAAGCAGAGTCCAAACACCCTGGAAGAAGCTAAAGTAGTGTCCCAACATAAAGCTAATCTTCAAAGGCTGGGAGAGGATTTTGTTTCTTCTTTTCTATTTCTTTTATGACTATAGGCATTCATGAAACCTCTATTAAACAACTAATTGACCAAAAGTTTAAGGATCAAAGACCTTAGAGACCACGCATAATGAAGAACATAGTCTTTAATATAAAAAAATCACTGAACAAACAACTCAAAACAGGCAGCAAAAACAAACAGGGTGGGGAAGAAGAATCTGGTTTCCATTTATACAGGTAAATATAAAAGCCAGTAGTATTGTATTTTTGGTTTTCCACTCTTCTTTTATTTACTACATGATTTAAAAGACAAATGCATAAAATAATAATCATAAATCAATGTTAATAGGCACACAATGTATAAAGATGCAATTTGTGACAATAACAATATAAAGTGGGAAATGGAGTTGTAAAGGAGCAGAGTTTTGTATATTATTAAATTAAGTTGGCATGAATTCAAATTTTATTATTACAAAGTTAACATGTTAATTGTAATACACAGGCTAAACACTATTAAAAAAACAAAAATATATAGAAAAAGAAATGAAAGGAAAGCAAAATGGGTACACTAAAAATGAATCAATCACATAATAATGCATTCAAACAATGAGCTATCATTATACACATATTAGAATGGTTAAACTCCAAAATAACTGAAAACACCAAATTCAGAGAAGAATGTGGCATAATAGGAACTCTCACTCATCGGTGGTAGGAATGTGAAATGGCGCAGCCACTTTGGAAGACAGGTTTTCAAAGATATCCAAGTAAATAGTAACCAAAAGAAAGCTAGCGGCTATGCTAAGACATGGTTGATTTTAAATTAAAAATTGGGGGCCAGCCGAGTAGCGCATTGGTTAGGAGCTGGTTTGGGACGCCAGCTCTGAGCAACAGGGCCCTGGTTCAGATCCCACATGAGGGCCAGTGACTCTGCACCCTCTACAGCTAAGATGCTGAACAACAGCACGACCTGGAGCTGGGCTGCCATGAGTCGCCGGCGATGGCATAGGCTGCAGGGGGGCTGGCCAGCAGCGGGAGTGAGCTTCTGTGAGCTGCCGTGAGCCACGGTGAGCGGCTGTCCAATGGCCAGCAAGCGACTGCCTCACCCGGGAAGAGCGCAATGATAATACCAACAGGGGCCAGTGAAGTGACGTCCTCCACAGCTAGACTGAAGAACACAAGGACAGCAACTTGTCTGTTCCCCTTCCCCAATTCCCCAGTGCTGTTCCCTTCTTCCAATTCCCCAATATAATGTTTAAAAATAAATAAATAAATAAATAATTGATACAAGAGACAATGGAAGATATTATATATTGATAAAGGGGCTAATCCATCAAGATGACATAAGTATAAACATCTACAAACCTAACAACAGAGTTCCAAAATATAGGAAGCAAACTCTGAAAGAATTGAAGGGAGATATAAACAATATTAAAATATTAGCTGAGGACTTCAATATCCACTCTCAACAATGGACAGAACTACTAGACAGAAGCTCAATAAGAAAATGTAGGATTTGAACAACACTGTAAACCAATTAGACCTAACAGACATATGTAGAACACTGAACCCACCAACAGAAAAATACACATTTTTCTAAAATGTACATGGAATATTATCCAGTACAGGCCATATGTTAAACCACAAAATAAATCTCAGTAAATTTAAAAGATTGAAATCAATCATACAAAGTATCTTCTCTGAGAAAATGGAATTAAACTAGAAATGAATAACACAATGAAAACTACAAAATTCAAAACTATGGGGAAATTAAACAACACACTGTTAAACAATCAGTGGATCAAAGAATAAATTACAAGTGAAATTTAAAAATACTTAGCGGTGAATGAAAACAAAACCACAACATACCAAATCCTACAAGATACAGTGAAAGCAGTATTCAGAGAGTAATCTATATCTGTAAATGCATACATTATTAAAGAACAAAAATCTCAAATAAATGGCCTTTATACCTTAAGGAACTAAAACAGAAGAGCAAACTAAAC